CTCTCTCTCTCTCTCTCTCTCTCTCTCTCTCTCTCTCTCTCTCTCTCTCTCTCTCCCCCTCCCTCTCTCCCTCTCATATACACATATTCACATAAAGGGTGTCTGACGATAAGTGTCTTATATCTCATATACATATTAAGTCGAACTGAACACAAAATTCCTCCATCATTTTGCAAAAAACCACGTAAAATTTTGAGTTATTAATTAAAGAAGATTAAAATAAAAGAAAATCTGCTGTCGTGTGCTTGCAGATTAAGGCTGCGTTCGGGGAAACGCTATTTAGCGCTATGAGTGTGTTCTGTCCATGTTTGTTCCTGAAAGTTGAACAAGGACAGAGAACGCTTATAGCGCTAAATAGCGTCTCCCCGAACGCAGCCTTCGTCAAGCTAAACGAAAGAGTCCTCTACTATTTTCCAAACCACCAGGTGGATTTTTGAGTTATTAATCAAAGAGAAGTGGCGAATGATCGCGCGCAATAATGCGCCAGTGTCCTTTAATTAACAACTAAAAATCTACGTAGTTATTTACAAAATAGTAGAGGACTCTTTTTTTCAGTTTGATCTACACGCAAACAAGATACTTATCATCAGACACTCTGTGCATACACACACATACACGCTAACGCTTCGTTAGTCTCGGCGAAACGGCGATAAGGGTGTAAAACACAAAAATTCGCTACATGCCAAAAGAACACATAGACAAAAATGAAGCATGCTTTAGCACGTGCTGCGTAACATGGAGACGAGACACGGACGCCGTACGCATTTCTGGAGCACACACTTGGAGGCAACGCAACAGTTGTTTAACAAGCGTCATGCAAGACGGTTCTTATGATCAATCACAGTCGTAGTCTCATACGACGATTCATTAATTGAACTCCATCGTCACTCTACGTTTCCTGTTTCTCTCGACTGCAAACTTCCCCGAGGCCGTTCTCTTTACCTCAACGACGTCTTCTTCTTCTCCTAGTACATCGATCTTTCATTCGTTATAGTCTTATCGTCTTTTTCCTTTTCTCTCTCTCTATCCCTCTTTCTTTCTTTCTTTCCCTCTTTATTTCCTTATGTGGTCGGGATCATGCATATGATAATAAAAATCATGTTAGCACAAAACACACCCATACACGCCAGGTCGTTTGTAGATCGTTATTATAATGCTCGTTCTCAATCTCTCTCTTTCTCTCTCTCATTCTCTCTCTCACTGTCTCTCTTTCTCTCACGTTCTCTCCTCCTTTCTTTCCTTGTTCCTTTCATCCCACTTTCATTCTCTATCTTTCATTCTTGGGATGCAAGGATTTTTGGCTCGAGTAAAATAGGATTTTCAAGAGACCAATGAAAAAGAACGATTATTGCAGTATTAAATGTCTTTAGTAAACAGTATTTTTAGTAATATATATATATATATATATATATATATATATATATATATATATTATTAAAAATATATATATATATATATAAATAAACCAACGTCAAGTTGTATGCCAAAAACCCGACTCCGTTGTTAAAGCAACTATCCTTTACGTTATTGCATTTTGCGAGAAAAAGGAAGGTCTGGTTAGTAACGCAATCGTGCTTTGTTAGAAATATCCCAGATAGAAGCCAAAGTCGTATAAAATTACGGAGGAATCTGCACTTTTGGAATGTTTATGTTTTGTCAAGCTAACGTTAATGTCGATTAAGTACACACAATTATATGCATGACAGAAACAGAAGCATATTTGAAGCTGAGAGAGTCAAAGACAATCGGCCGGCATAGAAAGTGAATTCCTCTCATTTCGACACCGCATTTTCGCGACTGCTTTCGTAGAAAGACCCGTGTCGTGTGAAAAGCCACGTGGAAACGTAATCACGCCAACGTAATCGGAGAAACGTCCACACGTAAGATTCACTATCGAGAATTTTAGTTTTCGCTTTTCATCCGAATCCCGCGACGTGTCGTTGCGCCGATGATAACGACGACGCTGTCGAACATCCCGAGGGGGATGATTCCATGCGGTTAATCTCTCTCTCTCTCTCTCTCTCTCTCTCTCCCCCTCTTTCTCTCTCTTTCTCTCTCCTCGGCGGTTCAGTCCCAGATTTCGTTCGTTTCGCTCGGTCGTCGTAGGAAATCACGTCTCGACGCTTTGTTTCTGCATGGTATAATATGTACGCGTCGCTCGAGCGAACGGAGGACGAGACTCACACACTTGCCGGGGAAAAGGGAACGTGTAGCAGTGAGTGGAATGCGTAGAGGAGTCTGATTTACGGAGTAGCAATTCACGATTTCGACATCGTGTCTCCTCGAGAGATCGTGCGGAATGATTCCGCAACCGTAGGAGTATTTCGAGCGGAGATTCACAGACGAGACGTTACGCGCGCGATAATTGACAATTCGGCGACGAGTCGCCGATGAACGAGAGAACGACGCGCATTTAAACGCTACTCGGCAAATACAACACATTTGCGGAAAAGCCTCTTGTTCATCAAGAGCGCAGAGGAAAGAAGTGAGTAAAGGACTGTTATCAGTAGCACCTCCCAGCAAAAATCTCCCATGTTCTTAGTAATAGTATGAAATAGTAGTAATAGAGCACTCTAATAGTGTAGTAGTAACTGTAGCAGTAGATGTGGTAAGAGCAATAATGATAGTAATACTGCTAATAGTAGAATTAGTAATAGAACAGTGTCAGTGTATCAGCAGAGTTCTAAGTTGCGCTCCGAAGGCCCGATCGCCCTTGCTCGAAAATGATCGAGAAGTCTAAGTGGAGAAATACGAGAGAGATGGTGTTATAATACTGCTAATATAATATGATATTGGTAGCACACTAGTGATTAATATAATGTATCGCTGCTACTCGCCCCGCGTGTTCGCGAAACGCAAATGAAACAGTGACACGGGAAAAAGGTTATGCGTCTAAGAAGTCGAGCGTAGCTGACTAGCTTTCTATGTGATATCGTTATATGCCATTTGGATGTCGAAGAATCAGTCGCGACGGTGTGTCGTGGGAGAAATGTGGCTCGAAGTGTCTACGAGTAACGCGGGACGCGTTATTGCGATTTCGTTCGTAAGTGGCACGAGTCGCCGGGAACAGAAGACTAAGATATTCCTCGTGGACTCGAAGGTACACTGAGAGAAGAGGTATTTAAAAAATAAAAAATGTTTATGCACGGTGGGCGTTATTGACACATTTACTTGCACTAATGTGAAATATGTTTCAGATAAGAAAACATACATTTTCCCTTAAAACCTTGGCTTTTCATAAAAGTAATTGTGTTCATTCTATTCAAGTAGGAGCCAAGCAAAGCTAGTTTAGTGTCATGGAAAGCACTATTTTAATAGCACTAAACTGTGCTTGGCTCTCAAAGGTTTTATTAATACATCTCTTATCATCAGAATCTTATTTAATTTACTTTATTACACTGTGAGAGAAGACGTCTAAAAAATAAAAAATATTTATTTATTGGGCACTGATAACATATTTACTTACACTAATATAAAGTATCGTTCAAAAAAGAAAATATACATTTTCCTGAAACATTGCTTTTTCATGAAAGCAATTATGTTTATTTAATTTAAATAAAAAAGCCAAAGACAAACAGTTCAATGCTATCAGAAGTATTATTTTAATAAACTAACTTAACTAAACTAACTCTGTGCCTCCTAAAAAGATCTTATTAATTAATTTAATAATCATCAAAGACACATCAGAGGCTTATTATTTAATTAACTTTATTAAATAAAAGAATTTAAATTCAAGTAAATATGCTATTGTGGCACCCCTACCGAATTAATCTTTTTTATTTTTTAGATATTGTTTTCTCTTCAGTGAAAAAAGTAATTAGTTCGTATCGAACCCAAGACGGACATCAGAGTGTTCTGCTGCCGACTCTTTATACGACTCTTGACTGACGAAACATCAACGACTATGAAATTGCATGGCACAAAGGAAGAACGATAACACGAGGCGAACAACAGACGAGACTATAACGGCCTCAATAGACACTTCGACGGGGGATACATCCGGGGGACGGAGAAGGTGTGTGTCGGGGAGAAGGCACAGGCAGAAAATATGATCGATAACACGGTGAGGGTAGTGAGAAGGGTCGTTTTCAGGCAAGCACACAGGCAGGGGCTCGCGTAGGGGACTCGCGAAGACTTCGCGAGGACGCAGGACTCGCCTAAAGGGGACTGACCTGGGTGACAATGGGGCTGTACTCGCTGGCCGTCGTACTGGCCGTGGACTTAATCGTTCCCGCATCGTCGACTACGGCAGAAGCCGTAGTGGCGTCCGAGGGTCTACAACTGCGTCTTCTTGCGATCTCGTCTTTATCGCGTCCGAAATCCGCGTACCTCCTCGCCTCGTGCCTACTACCGAAGACAATCTCGCTCTCGGTTTTTTCTCGCCTGGGCCTCTGCGGGCAGTCGCGTCTCAACGAGAAGTCCGTCAGCACCGGCTCGCCGGAGCTCAGGGCGTTGCCTTTCTTACCGACAATACCGGCGACGCTAATCTCGCTGCCGCGCCGATTGCCGCTGGCGAATATACTGGACCTCGACGAGTCCGAGGACTTGTGCAGGTACGCCGAGTGTCTCGCGGACGGGAAAAAGTCCGAATTCTCGCGGCGGAAGGCGCGCGCGAACGCGCTCGAGGCATTGCCCAATTTCGAGTCACTCTCTTGCCGCCTGTGAATCGGCTTCAATTGCTGTTGCTTTTGATGATGTTGTTGTTGCTGTTGTTGTTGTTGATGATGATGTTGTTGTTGTTGTTGTTGTTGTTGGTGTTGCTCGTGTTTCCGTCGGGCTAACTGTTCCTGTCGCTTCAACGTTCTTTCGCTAGACGAAGAGGAACGATCCTCGTTGCCGGACTTGCTCGCGCCGACCTCTTCTTGCGGGCGCTCCTGTTTTATTTTGTCCAGCTTTTCGTTAAAACCCTGAAAGAAGCGGGTGAAATCCCACTCTTTCAGGAGGAGCTGCTCGTCTATCTCTGAACGCCGGTTGCCGCTAGCCGTTGCACGATCGTCTGACATCTGACTAAGTTTCTAGAGTGCGCGTACGATGGCGGGGATAACGGTACGGTGACAGAGAAAAAAAAACAAGAAAAAGAAATGCGTGCGATAATAACGTGAAACGATGACTGTCGATGGAGTGCTTGGAGTGTATAAATGGTACAATGTATGAGTATTAGAGAAAAAAAAAAGGAAAAAAAAACGAGAGAAAAGACGACAAACGACTATTGTTGCGACGGTAGTGAGTCTGTAGAGTCGTCGAGAGGTGTGCAATGTATAAATGTGACTCCAAGATTAAAATATACAGAACGAAGCGACCGTCGAGAGAGGAGAAATAAAAAAAAAAGAAGATAACGATGCGATATACATATTCACCACCGAAGCAATATAGTCTATCGGGCAGCATATTTATTCATCGTTCGTATATGAATGTGCAGGGTGTATCGTACGACAGCGGCAAAAGTACAGACAACAAGGCAGTGCACCATTGTGCTCGCTTGGAATATACAAAATTCAGTCACGACGAGTATGTGGAACAATGTAACAATGAAGGGAGCGGACAGTGACCACTGAATTAGTCCCGATTATCAGTTAACGTACGTATACATATTTACAGAAAAAAAATGATAAAAAAATGGTAAAAAAAAAAGGAAAAGAGGAGAAACGACAATTATGTGCATCGCAATCGTTCGTGTTCCCTTCCCTTCGTCCATTCTCGAATTTCGTTCGTTCTTTCGCGAGAGTCAGTGATTTCACAGTGGAAATGTCTGATAAGAATTGAGATGGCTTGACGCGCCGATTCCCTAACGAATCGGCTGTTGACGTCAATAGAAAAGGAAATACGCCGACTGCTTTGCGCGAACTACTGAAACGTGATCACACCAGTCTCGTACGTTACATACCATCGATATGTACGGGAAGACCTCAAACGACCGAAATTAAATGTACAACCGAACGGAAGAGAAAAGAAATAGTCTACGAAAATATATATAGGTTTTAGCTTGCATAACAAACTCTGGAGGAGAGGTACTCACTCGTTTCATGACTAGCGTACGGTCTCCCGATTCTTCCTCATCGGGGGTCGGTGGGAGCGGGCGATTCGGTGCTCCTCCTAAGAATAAAGGTGGAACAGATTAGATAAAGAAAACAATTGAAAGGTTAGATTTAAAAAACGTTATTAAATCGAGATAAATCGAGCCTGGGATTTATTAAGGAAACTCAAACTCCTTACCCTTTGGCTTGTCTTCGTGGTGGGAGTTTTGAGCATTGTGCGAAGACGACGATGACGAGTCCGACGACGGTCTGAAAGGAGAAAATTCGGGACTGCAACGACGAACAAATATGCGAGATGACGATGGCGCACGATGACGCGATGAAGCACACAAGTAACACACGTCGCCGGTGTTGTCGAAGCAAGGCGATCAGGCGAGACGAGGCGAGGCGATGTGATGCGATGCGACCAAGACGACCATGTGATGCGAAATGTCGAAGCGTGGGATAGGCGTGATGGGAGGTGAAACGAAATGATATTAGTACGATTAATACCAATGCACTCTGCCGAGAGCCACGTTCTATTTATATCAGTCGGTTATGTAAGTAATGTACAGGTCAGCGGCCTCTAAGGAAATAATATTTACAAGCTCGTACAGCGGAGGAATGGCTGTCCATTACCTCTCCCATGTCACTACGTGTTTACGTGACACAATATGCGCGCATTAACACGCGGTGTGGATAATGGACACCATAAACATTATTTGTTCAGAGGTCACCGACTTGACGGTTACAAGTTGAAACGGCTCCTGACGATTAGTTACTGTTGTTTACGCCATGACGTTTACGTGTTACCGAGATGAAAGGTTTGCACTGTAACCCGACTGTTAAGATGTTACCTCACGAAACAGCTTATGGTAAACCATACTTACAGTGGCTTAGGTGGATCACTGGCCAACAAAGTTCCGTCGTTTCTCAGATTGTTTCCTCCAGCGTCTTCCAGATCGTCGTCACTGTCACTATCGATCGACAGGGCCTAGAACGACATAACGTGACGTATCACTTTGGACGTGTCGTTTCCCCGTTTCTCGTGTAGCGACATTAATTACCGCACATCGTACGTTCTTTACCTCGAATTAGACGCAAGGCGATGGTATCGTTACGTATCGTTCACGTGAATAACGAATAACGAAGAGAACGAAAGGGATAAATAGAACAAACAACGAGGGATGATAGATAGACGGAGATGCACAGAGAAACACGGAGTGTAATCGCTCTCGCTGCTGAGAATGTTATCAACAGCCACGGGCGCGGCTCCAATAGCTTACTTGATCGAGAATACTGGAGGATTGCGGCATCTGTTTGTTGTTCTGATCGTTACCACCTGCGGGCTGCACCGAATTCGACGTAGACGATGCTGCAGGGCCCTTATGCTGCCTGTTTGGCCTCGGCGGGGCCTCGGGGCCCTGTGACACACCAAGCTCGTTGAGTTGAGCAGCCAGCATGTCCAAGTCCTACCACCCACACGCACACACGCACAACCCCGTTAGTCACTGTTCCGAGACACCTCCGAGAGAATCTTTTGCTAGAGAAGCCACCACGCAGCCAAACAAGGCGGATAGGCGAGGAAGATGTCAAAGAGAGAACGTAAAGTACTGCGGTTTGAAGCGAGACTGCCGAATGACGCTTGAAGGAAGCTCAGAAAACGTTAATTACGATGATGACCAATCCAGACGCAACACGTTTAATGAAACACGTTCTAACGCGAATTGCTAATTGCAAGATTTGAGAATTAAGAAGCAGAATTGTTAATTAGAAAGAGCCCAAAGCCGAGGACGACATGACGACATCGTGAATGAACGATCTCGACTTTCATATCGCGATAATATTCGTATGTTAAGATTTATTAATGTGACGAGAGAAATCACTCTATCGCGCGTTACTTTCGCGACGTGAACGATTTCCTCCTTGCATGCATCGAATTATGATAAAACGACCGACGTGTTATTTTAAATAAAATTATACTGACATATTTCTCTTTCTCTCTCTCACTCTCTCTCTCAACGACGCGATGTCAACGACGACGATAACAAGATGAAAAGATCATCGACATTATTTCTCGAAACACCAACAAACGTGTTGTGTATGTGGATCTAAACATATATCGTTCTACTGACAAAGAAAATCCACTTAGGCGATCAGAATGAAGCCTAATGAGGGACAGTGCATAGTGCTCACAAGCGGAAATATATTAAGTAAAAGGGCATGTGACTTGTTATTTTATGAAACGGAGAAATTTAATAATGATCGATCAGCGCGCAAGACCAGAACGGATCTCGCCACGAGCATTATTCCGTGAACATAAACGTCTCGAATTGACAGCTCCGCGCGCCGATCGTCATTATTAAATCGTTATCCGTGTGCGCGAGACGCGTCTGCGAAGAAGCAAGATGTCGATACACATGTAACGAGAAAAAGGATAAAGTGTGCGTGTCTCATCTTACCTCTGGCCTCCTCGGCGGCAGCTACGGTACGTGTGAACATAGAAAAGAAACAAAAACCAAATACATTCCAAGTTCGAGTGCCAGGAGCCTCTGTGTACGTGTGTATATGTAATAGAACGCATCAGCGTGCACGCCAATGACGCAATAGCGAAATAGAGAACGCGTGCAAGATGGATACGATAATTAAATAAATAAATATATATATATATATATATATATATATATATATATATCGCATATAGTATATCGCAAGTATATATAGAGAAAGAGGGACATACAGAGTGAAGACTATGCGTCATATAAAGAATACTCGGACCGATAAATACAAATTTAAGGCAAAACTGCAAAAAAAGAGAAGGGGACAGACAGCGTATGCCTTGCTACAAGTCTGGTCATCTATCCTTTTATCCATCTATTTATGTAACTCTTATTCGCAAAGTGTAATGGGAGAAAAAGAGGGACGTTGGTTCCGGATGATTAGCGAAAAGGTCAGAGGTTACGAAAAGCGCGTGTCTATTCACGAAGGCTTACCATAGGCTTGAAGACATGACTGTTCCTCTGAGGCGCCGGTTGCCCGCCGGATCCTCCGCTACCTCCCCCTCCTCCGGCAGGTGTCTGATGATTAGAAGGCGGCGTGGATACTTTGTGCGGTTGCCGAGGATCGTCTCTGGGTGTCGGAGGTAATGGACGAGACGGTGGTTGGGGATCTGGTACCACTAGTCATAATTATCAATATCAAGGTTGTGACGTAAATTTTAAGACTATGTCTACACGGATTGTTGATCAATTATGTAGAATATTGTCTAACTTTGATCAGTATGATCAGTATGCAATTTCGACTCGACATGAACGTTCTCACAAAGAATACATTGAGCTTACCTATGAGTCTGTGCGGTATAGCAGGTCTCGCGGGTGGCCCAGGTTCCGGAACCTCTCTCTGCAATCTGCTGCCCGGTTTTTCTTTAGCGGAGGGCGCTTGAGGAGGTACATCCTGCGTTAGAGTCCTGCCCTCCTGAATCTGCTGAAAGTTACGGCGCAACGTATCGCCGCCGGGTGCTTGAACGATGGACGACGGTTCGCCTGCCAATGCGGGTTCATCCTCTTCATTTTCACTACCGCTGTATCGATAGTCGTCTCTTTCTGCAACGATGCAAGACGATATCATATAGCGCGCCGTACTCCGAGTAAACTGCTTAAAATTAACTTTCTTTATGGTATTATCTCACCTTTCTCCTGTTTGCGCTTTTTACAGCGATCGATGTGATCTTTCAGTTGTATTCTGACTTGTCTCTCCGTTGGTTGGTCCCGTATGAATGGATGTTTGAGAAGCTGTTCCGTGTAGGGTCTCTGGTGGTAATCCTTCACCAGCACCGTTTCGATAAATCCGTGAAACTTTTTGGCCCATTTTTTCGACTTGAGCCTCGGTGGTGGATTACGAGGGATCAGAAACAATGCCTGTTCAATGATAAAAAAAAAAAAGAACGATACGGTATAGCGGTGTATAATTTCATGAGAGGATTGCACGATACAGGATTACTCCGTCAAGACTATAATTATTAAAATTACTGAAAAACGCTCACTCTCATGGGATGAAGATCGCAGAGCGGAGGTTGTGATTCAGCCATTTCTAAAGCGGTAATTCCGAGCGACCAAAGGTCGCTCCTATTGTCATAAGTCGCGTCTGGATTCTCGTCGCAAGCGATAACTTCCGGAGCCATCCAGTACGGCGTGCCGATGAACGTATTTCTTCTACCTATCGTTCTATCCAATTGTGCGCTGACACCAAAATCGACTGAAGAGGCGGACACACGATTAATTGATGCGTGCGAAAATCTCGAAGATCACACTCTGTGATCATCTTATTCAAAATGATCTTACCGAGTTTGACTTCCGCGTTGTCAGTCAACAGAACATTTTGCCCCTTAATGTCCCTATGAATAACTTTATTGCTATGAAGATAACTAAGTCCTCTCAGTATTTCGCGCGAGATATAGGCTATCCACTCCTCCTTCAAGCTCTGGCCCTTGGTTGACTTGACGAGATCCGTAACGGAGCCAGCTCCGCAGTACTCCATAACCAGCCATAATTGATCGTCTTTGCCGGGTGATGACTTCTTCACGAAGGCACCGTAATACGTAGCTATATTTCTATGATTCGAGTACTGCAACACACACAAGAAGGCTCATTTGCATTAATTCAGTCTGCCGGCGCGATTCAGCGATTCTATTTATACACACACTCACCCGCTTGAGTACATTTATTTCCAACTTTATCTCTTCCTCCTCGTCCTGCAACAATAAACAGCTTGTTGAAATATACACCCCGACGAGACTCTTCCGATTCCTTATTACGTTTCCCACGTGAATATCCTACGTATTCTATCGCATATCGCGCATATCGCGCGCTCACTCAGAGCTTCGTATAGATGTATATGGTCCGATTAGAAATTGACTTGACATCATAAAATGATGCAGATAGATCGTTATCGAACAATCGTATCTCAAGCCATACTGATACCGTGGAAAGATAAGCTTTGCAAATACAACCGTTAGAACGAACATATCGCACATTCCACGAGGTTGAAAAAAAAAGATCAGAATGTGAAAATTTCGTTCAGCTGTGGAAGATTGTGAAAAGAGCAACCTAACATCTGCTAAGTAGGTAAGTAGAGTCGAGGCTTTACTCGCGCGTTACACGAGAGGGAAGAAAAGAGAGGGCACTCGCAAGGGGAGAGAGAAAAAGAGAGAACGATACAATGACGAAGATAGAGGAACACGCGATCATAATCGTATCGCTGCATTCCGACGTATCTTCCACCGCTTAGATCGACTTACAAAAAAGGCACGCAATATTATATTAACACTTTTCTCTCTCTTTTTCTCTTGTTCTCTTTATCTCAGTTAAAGATGAGTCTCAGGACCGATTTTTCCAACCTCTTGATGAGCTAACTAACAGTTAAATCATGTTTATTTTTGTCTAATTTGAGGGAAAACCAAAGATAGTCACATGACTTTATTAACTGTTAGTTAGCGCGCCAAGAGATTGGAAAAATCATTCCTCAATCAGGATGAAGCAAGATAGAATGATGAGAAATTAAAGAGATAATTTGTAGGTGTCTACATGTTGTGTGTGCGTGTGTGTGTGCGTGAGTGTAAACTATTACAGATTAAAAAGCAAGTACGTGACGAGGACCTGTTTATTGGGAACGCGCGCGCCGATAGATGAGTATCGCCGTGGTAATTTTCCATATCGTAACGGTACATAACGACCGCTCTCTTCACAAGTTAATGTAACGACAATAATGATGACACAAAGGAAACGCGCCATTGCGCATCGCGCGCTAATAATTTATTCGTGCAATTTCACGCGGCAGGCTGCGTTATAAAAGGCATACGACGCCTTTCCGGCCTGATGTGACACGACAAATTCTGAATTCCAGAATGCCGTTGGATGTATCACCCGCGGCTTCGCAGAAATGTTCTTTGTTCCACCGCGACAAGCGACGATATGCATTAATGATTCTAGAATCGTTTCGTTGTATATATCGCGCAGCCTTCGCGTCTTTCGCTGATAAAACTTATCTATCTGCGGTCGAGACGCGCCGCTGGTATTACGTTTATTTTCTGGAATCGAAATGAGGCCTTTCCTGTCGGCCAATGAAAACCGCTCTACGCTGCCGAATTGTACAAACGACAACGACGACGACGACGACGACGACGACGACAACGACGACGACCACGACGTGGTCGGCCTCCCTCGGCTTCGTCATTGGAAGTGCGAGAGGACGCTTCTTGCACTTCCAGAACGAAGCATCCGCAGCTGCAATTTCGACCTCGAACAACGAAGTGAAGCCGAGCGAAGCCGCCGCGTCGTTCGTAATCGAATCCACGTAGTGAGGAAGCAATTAAGCCGCGCTTAGCCATCATGAGACCGAATACTTGCCTCCGTGACGTCCATGACCTTGATAGCCGCCAGCTGACCGGTCTTGGTGTGCCGACCCTACAAAACAGAAAAGCAAATCGTCATTATCGTCTGTTAAAGAGACACACGAGAATTCCTAGAGCATACGAACGTGTGATGTGTACACATATTTCTAAACTTAACCCCCAAGGCTGACTACCTCGAAATATCCTTTTATAATACGTACTATACGCGCAAGTTGGGTGCCGGCCACCCGACTCCCAATCATCGTTTGCCCTTTCGGCCACCTGTACTCTGTCTGCTCTCTCTCTCTCGTTCCCGCCTTCTCGCCATTGGCAAAGGATTCGATAAATTATTAAAAGAAAATGACGCACACGTCGCGATTCAGGGCGAGGGTGAGAGCAAATGCCTGCATATCTTTCCCGATGTAAGCATCTCATTTTCTCCAGCCGCCAAGGGACAGATGGGGGCAAGGAGACGGAGGGGGCGGACAGACAGGGTGGCGCGCCACGGCGGAAAAAGCGTCACGGTACCACACTTCATATATTCAGCCTTTTTCAACTAGTACAAAGCCACGCGCATATGGCTGGACGATATACACGACACGAGCGTCTACCCTCTCACAAAGAGGATCGACTACAGTTCCTAACGTTTCTCACTCGCTCCTCGACAAAAAACTCAGAGAGAAAGAGAGAGAGACTCTCTCTGGTCGTCTCTGTTTCTGAATCTCCTCCACCTACGTGCGTGCAAACGTCATTCTTTCTCTGGAAGCAAGAGTCGCCGCCGGTGCAGGACGAGACGATTAAACGTATGTGACGTTGAGCGCACGACGGTAATTTGTGGAGAAATCGTTATAACGTGCGACAAGTTTCAACATGACTGAAAAAAATACATATACACACATATATACATACATATATATATATATATATATATATATATATATATATATATATATATAT